TTTAATGAAGACCAAGGATGATTCCTATAACTGAGCCACCTTTTAAGATGCTGCACCGTAAGGAAGCTGATCTTCTGTTGCACCTATCCAAAAGTCCAGGTCAGCTCAACAAACTAGCAGAGGAAAAGATTCTGATGATAAAAATACTTCTACAACTCACAGCACGAGCAGGGAAGTCTGTACTTAAATTCAGCAGCCTCACAGCACATTCAGAAGAGCTGTTCTGCACACCTGCAGCTAATCCAGATCCCCCTGACCATCCCTCGGGCCACCTACCACATAACCATGCCCAGCACATCCAGCTCAACAAGCAGAAATCATTAACTTAAAGTAACTGTCATCTCGTATTTCAAATGATCCTCTACTACTTCTCCCGAGGGCCAGATTCATCTATTACACACACACGGGCAGACTGTATACATACAAACAGCTTAATATAATTTTTTCTTATAATTGATCATAGTGGTTTTTTTACTGTATTAGCTTTTTTCCATCACTTCTCTGGAGCTGCATCAGGGTGGAAAATGGTATCAACCAATAATACAAGAAATCCAAACATTTAAAGCAGTCTATTCTTTAAATTTCAGCATTGCCTTAATAAACATCATGTAAATTTATGAAAGCTACTTGAATTTAAAAAATGGACACACTCCCTCCCTTACAATGGTATCATCCTGCAAGGTTTCAGAGGTAGTAAGTTTTGTTGTCAACTGTTGTTTTATTTCACAAACAGATTTGGAAGAGCTGGAATGCCCATTTCATCTTTCAAACCAAGTTAACCATAAAACTGCACCTGGAAGGAAAACACTTTTCAGAAGTTTTAGAATACTTTAAGCTCTGTTTCAAGAGGCCTCTGGTGCCAATTCAACAGTGCACTGCCAAACTGTTAAGGTCACGCATGTATTACTCGGAAGAGGCGTCTGTGAACAGAGTGACATTGATGTGGAATGTCAAGGGGGTTTATTTCTTTTTAAAATAAAAACATTAAGAGCAACTTTTGCATGATTACTAAACAAATCCCAATTCTGGTATAATACCAAAACACAATGCTAGAAGTCACTATAGGACAAGACACTACAGGCCTGTGCAACACAGCAGAAAAATTGTTTCAATGTCCTAAGCACTAAACAACGGAAAAGGTTTGGCTAAAACTCCAGAAAAATTAACACACAAAGGAGAGAAGGGAAGAGAGATGGAAAGAAGGAAACAGAAGTCCAAAGAATGCAATCCCAGGAGAGCAGGCAGTGCACAGAAGTAAACAAAAAAATCAGAAAATGAGAACAGCAACAAGCCAATGGTGGGAATTTATTTTCTTGTATATTCTTTGGACATATCCTAATGAACAAGAGATTTGGATCACAAAGTTTCTCTTCCCTTCTCTTCCTAAACAGCTAGAAAATTGCTCTGGATGTTTCCAGATCTAGGCTACAGAGGTACTTTTAGGATCTACCAGAGAGCTCAGACAGATTTGATCTGCAGGAAGAACATGCATTTACCATCTGCACTGAAGCGCATGAAGAAACCGAGATGGTCTTGGCTCCACCAGGAGTACACGATCCTCGTTATGATACGTATCAATTTACTTTCCAGGAACTGGCAACAACATGGGGGACAGCTGCACCCCTACAAAGTTAGTCCAAGACCGTCCTAAGAGGCAATTTTCAAGTTACTTCTGCTGCTTAAAAAATGTTCATGTTATTTGAAAGTCAGCTACAGAGTAGAAACTCCTGATATGAAAATCCGTAATTTCTGTCTTCAGAAGTGCTTATAACTTTCAAGCATTGTTCTCCTCCCTTTGTTGCCAATGAAGAGGCTATTATTGTCCAAGAGTTGTTTATGACAGTCCAGTAACTGCCCGCAACGAAAGGCCACCTTTTTGCAGGCCGTGCTTGGAGAAACACATGGCACTTGCTTACCGAGGAGTCGTCCAGGACAACTGGCTGCGCTGAAAGTCTAACAGTAGAAGCCAACCAGTCAAGCAGATAAAGTCACTTCCACCACCTCACAGCATCCACAAGAAATGGGATTATGACTAACAGGCTTAATTTAACTGAAACCGTAAGGTAAAGAGGGCACCTGAAGGAAAAAGATTGTTGGATCTGGCCAATAAGCAGCAAAAGACAAGTCAGATCTGTGGTCAGAGTGGGGTCACACCTGCACACAAGCACATTACTCACAACAAAAAGCACTAGCTGAGCTATCCACTGCCTTCCAAAGGGTAACCTTTCGGCACATACGCGCACCAACATACACAGAAGTAATTAACTCTCCAATTACTACCAGGAATTAAATCCCACAGAAATATGGGAAGTTTCTGATGTCTAGTTTCCAGTAGGGAATAAGGCATTAATATGATTTCCAAAATTCATCAGCCTGAGATGTACACAAGCTGAAGACAGAGCTGTGACCTGCCAGTCGCTGATCAAGTTTAATCTTGACAGAAATCACATTAACCCTATGCCGCCTCCTGCTACACAAATCACCCTCCAGACCGCACTGAAGGGCTGTTCCCCTGCTTTCCTGGGATAAAGAGGATATTTTCAGTTTAATTAGGAGCATGTTCTCCTCTCCTCCCCACAAACTAGGTTTTCTGATCAATTCCTAGCATATAGGAACTATTCTAATTCTTGCAAGCTTATAAATGACTTAAGTCTACCCTTGGGAATGCAACCTGGCTGCAAGCCATTATCTAGTCATCCTCAGGGCTTTGGTTTGATTATTTTAATAAGCACAGCCTTCCATCAC